GGCAATACTATAGGCCCTCGGAAAGCTGGCACCTCTCTGTACGGCGGTTTTCTCTGTGGGCTCCTCTCATCTACACGTGTCTGTCCCTAAGTCTGGCTTTATGATGTGGGTGAAAGGATGAAGAAGGCGGCGATAGTACCCACACAGACGGTAATGTTAACATGCAGCTTCGCCGGGCACCTTGCAACGATGGGCCAAAGCCAGCGGGATAGGAGGTGACCAGGAGTGATGGGAAGGCCCCCAAGTTGCTTTCTTAGAAGACAGTGGTACCATTTCAACTTTAAATAGGGATGAACATCATGTAAGGACAGATGACATCGGCCAGGGAATAGTACGAGCTGCGTCGCGATGCGCGTGCCCTGTTGAACTGAAGTTGTCCGGATCAGCGGTCGCCAACCACTGGTGGTCCTTGAGGTCCGAAAGGCGACCGCTGGTCCAGACAACTGAAGAGTGTCTGGGGCTTTTTGTTGTTGTTTGGTTTGGTTTGGTTTGTTTTGTTTTTTTTAAGAGTGTCTATTCTGTGGTGATGTGGAACCTGTCGCTTTTAGCGTCTCCTCCGATGCGAAGAGTCTGTGATTCTATTCCGATCCAGGGAGACCTGGCACATACATCCTTTCATTGTAAAACGTACAAAATGCAAAGGGGATTCAGTTTTATTTTTCTTTCTTTTTTTATTTTTTTAATCCTCACCCAAGGATATTTTCCCATTGCTTTTTTTAAAAAATATATTTTATTGATTTTTTACAGAGAGGAAGGGAGAGGGACAGAGAGCTAGAAACATCCATGAGAGAGAAACATCGATCAGCTGCCTCCTGCACACTCCCCACTGGGGATGTGCCCGCAACCAAGGTACATTCCCTTGACCAGAATCGAACCCGGGACCCTTGAGTCCGCAGGCCGACGCTCTAGCCACTGAGCCAAACCGGTTAGGGCTTCCCATTGCTTTTTAGAGAGAGTGGAAGAGAGAGGGAAAGACAGAGAGAAACATCCGTGTGAGAGAGACGCATCGATTGGTTGCCTCCTGCACGAGGCCCAACCAGGGCCCGGGCCGGGGAGGAGCCTGTGACTAAAATGCGTGCCCTTCACCGGAATCGAATCTGATCCCCTTGGGTCTGCAGGCTGGCGCTCTAGCCACTGAGCCGAACCGGCTAGGGCCAAAGTGGTTTCGATTTTAAATACCACAGGCCAACAGCATACATTTGGTTTTGCTCTGTGAGTGTAAGGTGGTAGGAGAGGGCGCAGTTAGCATGCAGACAGTGAGAGGATGGGATGAGCGAGCGGGAGAGAGGCAGGGGTGAGGCCCCCAGGGGAGGGGGACGCAAACCCGTCATGTGGGTGCTGGCCGCGCTGTGGCCGCCAGACAGCACAGGCCATGTGAGTCCGGGTACTTTCTGGGGTCATTTGTAGGGACACCCCCTCGGAGGCCAGTTACAGCTGGGACAGTCTGTGGGGGGATGTCCCCGTGTCCCTCTCCAGGGTGCGTGACAGTAGAATCAGCAGCCGCACAATTCTTGCCCGTGGCGGGAGCTTGCCGCCTGAGCAGGGGCTGGACTCTGTAGCCTGCGATGTCCAGCGGCCACCCTGCCGTCAGGGGCCCACGCGGTGCCAACACCAGCGCTTCCCTTCTGCTCCCAACTCTGCATCCATATTCCTGGGCGTCGCCCCTAAACCAGACCCGCGCCCTTTCTGTGCCCGAGAGTATGGGCTACGTTTTATGTGCGTGTGATCTTCCACGCTTTCAATGTTGCCTCTTGCTGCATCCTGTTTCCTCACGCGTGCCCAGATGCCCTCCGTTCCTAACAGACCCTGAGACGGGCCATGCACACTGGGGCTCGGCCCGCATCCTGGCTCGCGGGGCTGCCTGCGTTCCTCGGTGCCAACTCGCTCTGCCCAAACGCGTCGGGCGACTGAAAATTAACCGCGAGGAGGCCCCTCTGACTGGCATTTCCAAGAGCAGCCGGGCAGCCGCCACTGCACATTCAGCCGGCTCCCTCCTCTTCTCAGGTGCCCGAACGGCCTCCTCACATATTGGCATTTCCCTGCCCGCTCCGCACTGTCAAATGCTCGCCTGTATTTCCCTGGTGCCAAATCCTCCCTGGATTTTCAATGCAATCTTTGTTCCGACAGGAAGAAATATACTTTAATCAGGGGTGAGCTGAAGCGGCTTGTGCCAGGTGAGCCGCATCGCTCAGGCCCAGACACGTCCCCGTGAAATGCGCAGGCGGACAGCGCGAGGAGGGGGCGGCTCAGCCGAGGTGTCCCCGCGGCTGGCGGGCGGGAGATGAATGTGCCCTCCCGGGTGTAGCTTCCCTCCCGCCTCATTTTATTTTCCTGCTGCACAAGAACAATGTGAGCATGGAATTTTCCTAGT